GCTGTCTTGAACAAGTCAAAACAACGAAGACTTCTATTGTCTTTGTGTCACTTGTAGTAATCATGCATTTCGGATGACTATTGCAAATGTAGTCAGAACCATTAGCAAACGTGTTCTGCGTTTCAAGCTCCTGTAATCATATCCAAAACACACAAGGCCTCAATTGCAACAAATGGTGTACGTCCATGGCCTCCTATACTACTAGTTCCGCCGGTATTGGCTTTCCTACCCTCCTCGAAATACACGTCGTCAAATCATTGCCTCAAGGGGTACAGCTGGTTGATGTGATCAGTTTCCATAGGATCAGTCATTGAAACGTGACTGAAGCCGTTGGCTCATTGTTTTCGATACTTGCCTTTACGCGTACAGCAGAGGAAATAATGTAAAAGCGCATAGCAAATACGCATATAAATAGTTAAGAAAAAAAAACACAATGATATAAAGCGTTCTGAAATCAGGCAGAATTCGCCTCTAATGGGGCTAACGTTGAAGTTCTTTGGTTTCGTGTACTGGAATTCAGTCTAAAAGTTTGCTCAGTAGAATCTCGGATCTTTGTACAAATACTTCCACGCCCTCTTTAAGCGTTTTTGTATCAGAGTAGGAACGATTCTGTAGAGTAGCTTGCTGGGAAAAAAGGTATATTAATTTGCGCTTCAGAGCAAACTTTGGTTAACACCACATGCGCCAAAATTGACTTGGATCGTTGCTAATAGCGAGGAAATTGTAAATTAACCGGGTTCTTTGCGTTTTCAATTCTTTTGACGGAATTTTCATGTAAAAGTTTGAAAACGCCTTCAAGACAAGATATTAATTATGAAAAACATGGCTCGTTTAGCAATTAAATTGACTACTTTACAAGTCCCTTATTAAAAAAAGTTGGGCGACGGAATAAAAAAGGTTTGGGTTTTGTTTAGCTCTAACTTTATGTCATTGAAAGGAAGATACTAGAGATACTAGCAGATTAATCGTAAATTTTCTTGTAAAAGTGACCTTTCCGCCAAAGAAACGAAGAAAACGAAGAAAACGAAGCAGCGCGTTTTCAAATGATCCGACGTAATTTGCAGCACAGTAATCAACTCAGCTTTTGTAATCAACTCCCGCTACTGCAATGCTACGTCGTTTAGTAAAGTTTTCAACTATTAAAGAGCTTTTCACTCTCAGTTAGCATACTGATGGAAAAGTAAGGGTCTTGTGGGATCATGTACCTCGAGATTTAAACAACCAACAATATATCCAGGAACTTTAAAGCTTGAACTAAAACTGAATACACACGTCATAGTCAAAATATGTGCATGACCTTATACTACAGTAGCTCTATGTGTAATTCAAAATAATACCGTGTGATAATGCTCAAATGAGGTTATATGTGTAGTTAATGGACCTAAGATTTCTTGAAAAAATTAGGTAAACTGGTAGAATGAGCGCTTTTGGATTGCTGTGGTTATAATTTCGTGTGAAGTCAGAACGTCAAGTAAATTATAAAACCACAAGAGGGATGTTTTCAACAATTTCTCAAAGTGGTTCTTTCACTTGAACAAATTAGTTTGAAGATAATGGCAACGATCTGACGTGATGTTTGCCTGAAAAGATAGCTTCAAAGCAAAGTCCATACATCATACTGATTATTTTGGCCGACGAATTTGGTGAAAATTTCTACGCGAGTCAAGACTGTGTTTAAGTTGAAAATTAAGAAAAATGCGTATATTATATGCAGGTTTGGCAGAGCTTTGTAATTGTTTCCAAACATTATTTCACTAATATTGCAATTTAAGTTTTTCATCAACACATATTGGCTCGAGCGCACCAAATGGATTTTGGGCCGCAGCTTGTGGTTGGTATCAGGGGAGTAAACAGGAAGAGCTATTTCGACGACGGAAAACAGGTGAGTAAACGAAAATAAATGAATCAACGATAAGGTATAAAAATTTGAATAACCTTTCAGACTTAGAAAAAGCTAGCAAGGTGCTTTCTTCTTGAAAAGAAATCAGATTATTTTCACTACCACATAGACTAGTAGTTGTTACAGTTTAACGCCATTTTCGTATCCAAACACTTGATTTGATGAAGTACTTACTTCCCTTGTTTAAGGATCGTTATGGAAACAGTTTTAGTAAATGAGTATGATCATTGTCTTGGTCGTTAGCGCTTATTAAGTCACGTTGTCATCGTTTTAAGGAAATGAGCGTCCAGCAAAATCTAAATTGTGCTCTTGGCTTCGTTTGGCGCCGACTGTGAAAGGTTAACTAACCCTTGAACAACAAAGGCCATAAATAACCGTCAAAACAACGAAAAAAACTGAAAAACAACTGGGTCAGAACAGCCATGAAGAGGAATTATTTCTGTTCTGTAAATATCATAACTACGTCAATTCAAAAAAATTTTCCGTTTGGGAATAGTCCCGTTCATGCTGCGGCCTAATTAAAGGGTTAAGTAATAATGGCGTGACTTGTTAGCTACGTAAATAGATCAGGCGATTCCATAAAGAGGCAGGTGGATACTTTTTTCCGTGTATGTTTTGGCGAATGTTCTATCGCTAGCCTTAACCAAAATGTGGATCGTTGGTTCTTCTTTCGTCTTCTTAATTTGTGTAAATCTGTTCGGTAAGTTTCTTGTTATGAAGCTTCTTGAATAGGAAACATTACTGCAGTGGCACGAATATACATTAATTTAGCTTAGTAATCATTTCTTAGCCCGACGCAACACGTTTGAAATTTAAGGTGTTCAGAAAAGCTTCCGATAGGAAAGACGTTATCTGGAAGGTTCGATATTCACGAGTTAAGCTTCATGGCATCTTTGTCAAAACTAATTTTGAGCCCGACGGGGGACCACATTCAAATCGTTCAAGGCTGCGGCCTTGATGTTTTTCATTAAGTTAATGTTATTTCCTTGAGCAAATGCAGGGTGGGAATTTTTCAGTAGTGGTGATTTCGTTTTATATTATTCCAATATGTTTTAGTTCTACAGATAAGTTTCTGGTAGCGGCTGTAATTTCTTTGAGGAGATGATGTAGCTGCACGCAAATACAGTCAACTTGGCTGGTTATATCCATTAGACATTATAACAACTATTAATGGATTGTTGACCACAAACGTAAAACAGCATAAATTTTACTGTTACCAGCATAATTTCCATTAGGAGAAATAGTAAAAGACTATATTTAGAAAAATTATGACATTTAGGAAGACTACGACTTACAGCCGGCAGATACTAAGCAAAACAGCTCTTTCCGTTTCCCTCGCATTTACAAGTGGTTTTAAAATCTTCCTTGTGACTTACTAATAAGGATTGCCTCGGGGTTTTCAAATATTATCCTAAATCAACAGCGTCCCCTGCCTAGGGGAAAGAAATAGATATATATCTAAAGGTTTAAAGACAATTCTTAAAGAAGAAGTAGAAGGAGTAGTAGCGTTTCTGCTTCCAAACAAGATCTTTTAAAACGAAATGCGACAATGATATACCTTTTATATAAAATGACCTCATTGTGACTATAAGCGCTTATATTGGGACTTGGGCTAGGTAGAGTCATTGAAAAATGACGAATTTTCGATAGTAAATGAACTCAGCTTATTCCATGACAACTAATTGGCGCTAACTAAGCAATCACTTTCAATTTATTCAAGTTTTATCGCGTGTTTCGCTCGACGTCAAGTTTCTAAGCTTGTTGTAGACATTATTCTAGAAGTGTGCCAATAGACTTTGCAAGGTGGCAAACCTTTGTTGTAATTTGTTTCGGTTTCCAGTGACAACACAGGAGTAAGTGTCTAGTGAAACAAGTACAAATAAGTTTCTAATTTGAGATTTTCTACGGGAAGATGTAAAGGCTTACGGTAAGGCTAGAGAAATTTATCCACGTATATCATTGAGCAGTATCGATAATACACGGGGCTTTTCGAAGCTTTTATAGGTGTTCAATTGGCTACCAGAATTCCATTAGAATAAAAGCTTCCGAGCCTCAGAGGTTAAAAAAAAAAAAACCCAAATATTTTCGTAATATGAGCGGCGGCAAAGATAAGGCACGGGTTCAAAACATATCAACAAAGCTATCTTTTTAGGCTCCATGTTCGTTCAATTGGTTAAAGTTCAGTTTAATTATGAGGCTCAGGTCGTTATAAATCCATTCCTTTATGTAATTGTTATTCCAAAATGAAAAAAGAAACTGAAAAAATTCAAATTTTGCATTTGATTTCAAATAATTCGCATCGCGAAATTATCTCTATTAATTGGAAAAGTAGGCAAATAAATTTTCTAACGGATTTCATTTCGTTAGGAAGCGAGCTTCCTTGAATAAAAGGACTGACTAGCCCTATAGATAGCGAGAAATCACACTCGTCGGAAATGCACAATGATTCTAAACAAATTCCATAAAGATAAGGTAGGCTAAGATAACAAGAATCACAGTAAAAGTTATTACATGTCTCCTGTGATCGGATTGTCTGCCAGTCTTTTGTTCAAGTGACCATTGAAGCATTTCAACGAACTTTCTCTAGGCCATTTTCAAAGGTTACCGAACATTTTCATTAATACCAAATAAAAAAGTACTTAGGCGCCTATTTGGCAAGTTATAACTTCCTAAGTCAATAGGATGATCGTTATTATGTCATCATTCTCGTAATTACCTTTAAAGTACAATGAGTAATTGAAAAAGCACTTCATCATTGATTGTTGTAAAATGAAAGCCAATTCACTTAAAATGGCTAACACAAAAAGAAAGGTAAATAGGATAGGGAGATTTTGAAAACTTACAGTATAGACAAAACTTCCTCAAATGTGGGAAAACGTGGTTAAACGCCATTGGTTTACGTCTTAAATCAGTTTTCTGAACGAATCACAGAGCGCAGCGTAGCATACACAAAGCACTGAAATCCACATCACGTTTGACTCTCAGCTGAATCTTTTTCCAACGGTTTTGATTCTTTAGAGCAAGAGAGCTTAAACATTATGACCCACCTCAAATCGCTGTTTTCATCTCTTCTTTTTTTTCTTCTTTTTTTTTCTTTTTTTCAGTTGTATCAGGACAAGGACACAGCATAACACAATCAGCAGAGTATCGTTTAAGAAAAGCTCTGCTTTCTTCAAATGACAAAATGGTTCGTCCGGTTTTGAAGCCGTCAGATGTTTTTAATGTCACATTCGATGTGCAGTTCCAGGCTCTCAGTGCAGTGGTAAGCAAACTGCTTAACTTGAGTTCTCATGATATTGAACATCAATTTTAAACAGCTGCAAACATCTCAAACTATGAAACATCCATCGATTTAAGTGGAAAGAAGGAGAATTTCTCCTTCACGACATCTATTAATAACCCTTAGCATAAAGCCACCGTGTGAATATGTGAACCCAAGACAGTAACGTGGCTAAGTGGTTGGAGGGCCTCAGCTTTAAACTGCTGGTACTTGGCTTAAATCCTCCCTTCCAAAATGGACCTGAATTGTACTTGATTTCGGTTTTCTGGCTCAAACGATCGAACCCCTTTAGGATTTTAGTTACCGTATCCTTGTATTTTATTACTCGTACAACTTTTGCAACGGGTAAGTAATGGCTAAGTTAAGTTTGAGACAAAAAAATGAAACAGACAAACAAACAGCAAAAGCAGCAACATTAACCACAAATGGCTATGGAATTACTCTTAGTATAAAAACGAAAATACGTTGAGCTATTCAAGGGACTGGTTCTGTCGCACTTTATCACAATCATCGCACTTTGTCACAATCATCGCATTTTGTCACAATCATCGCACTTTGTCACAATCATCGCACTTTGTCATAAAATTTTCGCACTTTGTTATACCTGTCGCACTTTCTAATAACACTTGTCGCACTTTGTTATAAAATTTTGGCACTTAGTTATACCTGTCGCACTTTCTAATAACACTTGTCGCACTTTGTAATAAAAAAGCTGTTGCAGTTTGAATAAGGTACCTGTCACACTTATTACAAAGTGCAGCAGGTGTTACAAAGTGCGACGATGAGTACAAAGTGCGACAGACGAATTGCGTTCCCAAAATATTTACCTGCCCTAAAGTAGTCTACCTACTCCGTGCACCAGTTCGTTGTAATCCCAGACTCAAAGATAAGTTAAGAATACGCTTTTAAATAATCTTTGTCACGTTAACGTCCTTGATGCCTTGCAAATTGAAGCCAATTCCTAAAATTGGATGTTTTCTAAAGGCTTGCTGAAAAAAGGATTGTCATTTCTCAAACCAACCAAACGATGAAAATTAACGCTTTAAAATATGCATCCTAAGGGAATGTATTACACTGACAAGCCAAAGACCTAAATCATTAGGATTCAATTCTGTCTGTGAACTTTGAAATTAGTAAACTTATTGGAGGATGAATATATGTTCGGACGTTTTTGAAATCAAAGTACCCGTGGGCGTTTCCTTCCATATTCACTTCTAAAATATCCACACTCTGTAAATCTGTGCTTTGGTTTCGCAGGACAACAAACAGCAAGTCATTACAATTGACACAGTGATCACTCAGGTAAGATTGATTGACATATAGCTAGGTACTAAGCGTTAAAAAAATTTACACGTTCTTCTGCTTTGTGCAAAAACGAAAAGAGCAAAACTAACGACTAGATTTCATAAGGCTGTTAACAGTCGGGCTCTTCGTAAACCAGAAAATACTTTGCAAAAATGCTCTGCATTGTGGGATCTTTATCTTTGATTTCATTTAAACAAGAATATGGCGATCAACGCCAGATAGCATAAGTTGGTCTCCCACCTTGTGGCGTCCAAAATCCAAAATCGAACACTATTCCCGCCCAAACTTCCTTGCATTATTCTTCAGATTAAATTTTTCAAACCGGTCCTTTGTGGACTTTTGTTTTCACCCATGTCTTATTTGACGGTCATGGATATGAGACAAAAGGAAATCTTCATCAAATCAGTTTTAAAGTAAAAAACTTTGAACCACAACTTTTGCATGCATACGCTTGTTTGAAATGGAGAGCATGAAAATCTCGTTACGTCTTGCAGATTGGTAACTTTTTGTTTTTCGACTTGGGGTTGGTCAAATTTTAGAGGCCTACACAACCGAAAATTCCGCTGGAAAGTGAATTCAGTGATTTTCTGTTTAAATAGAAAACAGAACATTTCCAGCTTTTGCGTATTTGGTTAGTTCCCACGGCGGTGATATCAGATATACAGCAAACCTTAATAAAAGTAATAATTCGAGCCAAGCCTCAGCGCAGGTTTCAGCGTTTTTGTTTTTTTAAAAATCCGGTTTACAGAAATGGAATAATCCTTATCTTCGCTGGAATCCTTCCACGTATGACAACATAAGGGAGATACTGGTGGATCCAAAAGAAGTATGGGTTCCAGATATTGTTCTTGAAAACAAGTGAGTTAAATTCTGCCACGTGTGAATAGCATTAACTTTACCTGCAGATGGGTAATAGAAAGCAGTACGTTTCTTTTTCTTTGAAAAAACGTCAGACATGCAAATCACCAATTAGGAAGAAAATGCAGGTATCATTATGGTTTAGGGTGTTTGCTATATTCTCGAGACAATAATTAATGTCATCTATCTGTGAGATGCAGGGGCTCAATTTCTTTAATAACGTTAAATGCACTGGCTTAAATTTTGATACATATTTTTTTGGCTCATATATGCTATTGGTGTAAGGATTTACCTTCTTTAAAATGTTTAAAAATGTTATGTTTCATTTGCTTCCTTTTTTGTTGTTGTTAATTCCGGGCGCCGTTTGGTGATGGATCTAAGCCTGCTGGCTAAATAGAGTCCCTTCCATTCAATTGGCCTGAATGGTACAGTACTTTCAATTTCCAAAAATCCTTCTGTTTGAATTTTTTCAGCGCCGATGATGAAGTTGTTCAGGCAGGCCACTTAGAAAAATTCCGAAGTTGGGTGCTTGTGAGCAGCGATGGCAAAAACACGTGGTTATCTCCGGCGACGTTTAAAAGCACGTGCAAGCTTAATGTCCAGTTCTTTCCCTTCGACAAACAGAAGTGTAGCATGTTGTTCCGTTCACTAACTGCTGATAGCACTCTTCTGAATCTTTACACCAGAATAATAGAGAGTGATGATCCAGAGGAAGGTAATGGAACAATTAAATACTTGGGCAAAGGGTCGAAAAAGGATAAAAGGTTAAAGAGGCCAATTTTTTCCAACGTAGTCACTGGCCTGGAACATAAATACAGAAAAGAAAGAGAGAAAATGGGGGTAGAGGAGGATTGCAAAGGGACCAGAGCTCATTAGAAACCTCTATTTCTCTTGACACGCTCATCGGGAAATGATCAATCTTAAAGGCGATAGGCGCCGTTTAAGGTTCACTTCACAGGTAGTATAAGAATAGTTCTCTGTCCTGAGGACTATGTCGATCCACGTTGGAGTGACGTCATGAATATAAGAAATGCTCTTTTTGAGTTTGATAAGGAATAATTTTTCAAAATAATTTTGCGTTATCACTTCTGGACTTGCACGATTCCCAATTAAACAATAACTGGGGCTATCGTTAAGACGAGAAGTTGATGTGGAAACAACTTCCATAGCATGCATCCTAATGCTGAATTACCTCTTAACTTGTCCCTGAAAGGTTTGCCTTTCGTATCTCCATGTTCTTAGTATCGTTAAAAGCGTTGGGGTCACTCTGATGATGCTGACTTGATTCATGTTTCTTCTTTCAGAGCTTAAACTCACCACATCAAATGGTTATTGGTCACTGAGAAGCATTGAGATCAAGACAGAGAATATCAAGAAGCACTCTCGGACATTCAGCGAGGTTAAAGTATCATTTTCTATTGGACGCAAACCATTGTTCTTTGTTCTTTTTTCCATCGTCCCGTGCATGATCATTGGTATGTTGGTTCTTGTAAGCTTTTTTATTCCCGTTGAGAGTGGCGAGAGGATTGGATTGTGTGCAACAATTTTACTGGCAGTCAGCGTTTACCTACTTGTTGTCACCGATCAGCTTCCTGAACAGTCCGACACACTGCCCCTCATTGGTGTTTATTACATCGCGATCATGTTTGAGATCGGCCTAGCGCTGGCTGCTTCAGTTCTCGTCCTGAGGACTCACCACCTGACTTCAGAGCCACCTCGCATCTTGACTTATATTACAGGTGAGACAAATAAAATACTCTATCACAAATGAGAACCGGCTTATGAACGAATGTCCATTTGGGTGACAATAGCAGTGAAAATGCCAACGGAAGCTTGAAACACGAAGGCCATTCGACAATAGTTATAGCTATGACATAATAACTGGACAATTACTTTTGCAAACAGCTGCAGCAGTATGACAATAACAGTGACGGTGACGGTGGTTATAGGACTAATCGTTTAATACCCGTAGCTGCGTTTGACCATGAAATTCTCAACAACAACGATCCTATTATAACTCTAGGTCTATTAAGTGGAATATGAAGGATGCCTTTTGACTAAACCATTTATTGATTTTCAGCAATCAACAAGCTTGGTTGCTCCTGCTTCAATCGAAGAACACGACGAGAGGAGGTTCCCGGTTCTTCTGTGATAATAAATTCCAGAGTCGCAGCAGAAAATAACGAAGACAAGGCGGGGAGAAATGATAATGTGGAGCTAGAAAATATGGAGAAGCAGTTACCAGAAACGTTTAGGAAAGAAAGAAAATCAACATCGAGTAGAATTTCTATCTTTCAAGTCGAAGACGAAGAAGAAGCTAACCAGAAAATGTGGAAGGAGATCGCTCGAGCGCTCGACCGAATCTTTTTCTGGTCGTTTCTGGCGCTATTTGTGTCTTCATCCATAGCAATATACTCGCAGTCAGGGCGGTTGTCATCACTGAATTGAGGCATTCAAGTATTTGAACTTTCATCGTTCACTAAGTATAGCTGGAGTATGTCTACACTAGTTTTCCTATAATGTCAATGGAAACAATAGAAAATTACTTCGTTCTCTAGGCTAGAGAGTATGTATACCCATGTGCAATGAAAAAACATCAGACAAATTAGTCTTAAGTTTCTTGCCGTTGCATGTTATGACGGTTATGCCGCAGTTTGTGGCTGAAGTATCGTGAATAGCTTTATTTGTATAGAAAGTTAAAAAATAAGTTTGCTGACGTTTCTGTAGTTTGGAATCACAAAGCAACAACTATAACAAATGCTTAAGAATGTACTTTAATCGAACAGAAAAGCTGACGCGAAATATGGGTTATTCTTAAGATAGAGTGTTGTGATGTAACGTAGATGAAATAAATGCAAGAAAACCTTTAAAGGGGCACATTGAAGTGGTTTTCAGTTCCTATGTTGGTATTGCTCGAACAACCTTCATGAACATTTGAAAATCATCGGAGCTTTAATTTGTGATAATATTACGTCAGTAAGTCTATGCAATGTAAGTCAGGGTAAATGTTAGAGTTGAGAGAAGGCTGTAAAAATTGTCTTTATTATTTTCTTATAAAATTAAACGCAAAGAACAACAAACCATTCAAATCTGATCTATTTTAATAGACAGTAACTATTTCCCTCTCAATTCTATTGTTGTATAGATTTAATATTTGAATCTCCAGCTTCTCCAGTTAAACAACCAGTCATTGATGATATGCGAATTTCACCAACTTATTTACTGAGACGCACCTATTTAAAAGCAAGAGAATTAGCTCCTTTGAGAAAAAGGCTTCATGGAGAAAAAAATGAAACTTTAGGATCAGAAGATACTGGCATTATTGAAGAATCGGTCGACAAATTTACTCTCATACTTTCCTCCGATCATGATTGTGGAACAAATAGAAATTACACCGAAGTGCTTCATTATCTTCCTTTTGTAAATAAACGATCTGCCGGGGTATTTTGGGCTAGTGACGCGTTTATTTGCATGCGACTCTAATTTGACCACCTGTCATAGTACGTTGGACGACGTTGAGTGCGCCATGAATGAGATCTCAAAAGCGTAAGGGAGTGGCCCTTAGCCAATAAATTGACCCTCGATGTTGCAGAAGCCGAATTCATGTTAATTGGCTATCATTACAATCTAACAACCCTTCTATTTCTGATGTGTCAAAAATGATGGCAAAAGCTTCAAACAACTCGTGTAGAGTAGGATTCTCGGTGTTCAAATAGACCATCATCTCTCTTAGGGTAACTGCATTGAAAAAAGTGGCCCAGAAAATCAGTTCAGGAATAGGAGCCTAATGGTGGGTTCAGGATTTCGTAGACAGAGCCATTTAAGGTAATATCTATGATGCATCAATCCAAACACATTTCAAGTGATACAGGCTTCAAAAGTTGCAAAATATGTTTGCCATACTCATAATGCTCATGAGAAACGATACTAACGCGTCAGAGGCACTTGGTGCCTTACGCTGGGAAATCTAAGACATTCAACGAGCAAGATCCAAAGCTTATGACATGTGTAAGAGCTTAACAGGTTGGCTCCTAGTTGTCTCGCTGTCATATTTTTAAGAAAGAGTGACACTACGCATACAATCTCAGGGGGTCTTCCCCCTCAATGCAGTTGCCTTTCCCTTAAACCGAATACATTAATTTCCATACAGCTTGCGGTGTATCAGCTGCTACATCCGAACTAAAAAGGATCATCTAAGAGAACATCATACATACATACAGATACATACATTAACATCTACACAGAGACTCTCAAGAGTTTATGCTGCTACTACTTCTTTCTTGACGCGGAGTCAGAGGCATAAGTAGGTATTACGTCAAACAAGAGAGTTAAAGGTCTTGAAGTAATTCACATTTACTACTGGTCTCTTTAGCTTTTTTATTCAAGAGCTCTCCAATCATACAGCTTCAGCACACCAGGCTCAATCGCGATTCATATTAAAAATCTATTTATACTTGATGCACTGAACTGATCCTTTGCGAGTTTAACTCTTTTGCAATTAAAGTGCCTTTCTTGTTCATTGAAACAATACGCCAGCCTATTTTGGAAGCTTATGTTCGATAACGTTAAAATGATGATGAGATGTTTTTAAACTGTTTTCACAACAAGTGTTAAGCAAGATCCACAAGTCAAGTCAAAGTTCAAGTGCAAGACTATCTTGGGCCCCCACGATAAAAAGTAAGTGCAGATGATGATAAAAATAAATGTGGCAAGAGAGGACACGTTTTAATAATGAAAAGCTTCTTCAATCATGTATCATTCAAAGTTTCATAATAGAATGATGACAACATCCAGATGGGAGGGTATGAAAATAGCCAATACGTTTTATTCTAGAGGAATTGAGACGAAAATCAAATGTAAGCTTTAAAGTTTTGGAAACAACAAGAAAGCTATCTTATATTAGTTCAACAGTAAGGTAATTTAAAGAGCGGCGAACTTGTGTTCACCAGAACGCAAATTATTCGTCCGTGAAAACATATTCATTCTCGAAAGACTGGCTTTGCGTAAAGACATAGATTTGCATTTCGAAGATGTTATCAATATTTCATATTTTAAACAGACGCATAATGATTGCGCCCTCTCCCATCTTTCCGAGTATGATCATTGACCTATTAACTTTTCATTATATCAACGGACAGAGTTTGAAGGTTTTCTAGTAATAACTGTTCATCGACTCGACGTCAACGATTAGCTTACTAACAGCCCGAAAAACCGTCCCTTGTCAACCATTACTCCATGATGATATAGCTTTAAATCAGGTTAGTATTTTTCGTCACTAATTTAATGCTCTGACTATTCACATAGAATATAATAGATCATAGGGGGGCATTGCAAAAACACTTGAACCTTTACAAGAGTATGTGAGGTACTCTTTTTTTTTCTTTTTTTTTCTTCGAAGAAGTACTTGAACTTTCACTCATCCTCTCTCAGATTAGGTTATGGTTGCAAATACTACATAAACCAATACTAACGTTTGTAAAAAAAAAAAAAAAAAAAAAAAAGGAGAAAAAAAAAAAGACCATTATTCATTCATTTTTAAGGCTCTCCTATAAAGTTGCCTAATATATCGAATATTTATGCAAGCCAAAGGGAATGTGTAAAAATAATCTCAGCAAGTTGTTTGATCCTGTTGACTGTCAATATTCTTTTTTCTTTATTTATTTTATTGTTTATGTTTTTGGCTCTGTTCGTGATTCACGAAGAACGGCTGTCTTCGTTTCATGATCACTAAACTTAGATTCGCTCTTCAACACCATGTCGTCTACTCCTGTGTAAATCGTAATCTTATCGTAGTCATCCCTAAGAGACATAAGACTACCTTCTTATAAAAATTCACTTGTACTCTTCATTTCGTTTATCATACACCAGATGACTTGATTATCTAAGTAAGCTGATCAGACAACAGACAAAAGCTACATCGTAAGAATACCACGCCAACAATTTTCTGTGATATCAGCGTTGATGATAACCAAGCAACTCGCACTTAGTTTTTTCTCCATGAATGTACGCGCCTTTTTTCCAATGTCATCCGATGACGTGGAGGGAAAAATAAATGTTAGTTTTGTGGTATGGCCTGCAGGAAAATTTTTTCTTATAGTAATTACAGTCTCAAAGTTTTGGAGGCTTTAACATAATATACTTTCGTACTGCAGTATTCCGCGAGTTCATCCGTGATTTTCAGATAATAGCTATTTTTTTTCCTTTTGGAGATTACGGTTTTCGAGTCACTCTTAGTGAGCATTAAGTTTCGAATTCTTTCAGCAGGGATCCGCAGTAATCTTCCACATTCTTTTAGAAGCCGTTTTTCTTCACATTGGTTAAGACTTGACTCTTTTGCACATTTATATCTTCTTTGCGAGCTAATCAAATTGCATGGCTATCATCTGTAAATAATATTTCCCCGACTATTCATCAGCTAAGGTTGTTATTTGTAATCCGTGTGACTAAAGATTCTTTGCCTTTGGCTATTTTTTAATTAACCTTTTGGTAGGTATGTAGGTAGCTGAGCAAACGTAAATTTTATTTTTATTTGAGGATGTAAATGACTCAAAACATTGTCACTTGACTCCTTTATTACACGGAGAAATTACTGAGTGTGGTACAACGCACGACTGAGTTTACAGGACAATTGGCACTTGAAGGTTCCAGTCAAAACAACTTAAAATGTTACGTCAAGGTTTGTTGATCTCGTAAAAAAATTAGCCAAAGTTTTCAAGTCCACCACATGCAATCCTTGTTAATTCTTCGCATACTCAGCCATCTTGCCCCTTTGTGGTGCACACATGACCACTTTTTGTTACTTTATTCACTAAATCGGCAATTTGAAGTCTTTTCGCGTGAAAGGTAACTTTGATCGTTGTAAAAATGAACTACACTGAGTTGAATCAAAACTGCTTGTTCCCCACGCACCATGGAAAACCTTGGATTTGCGTAAATCAGCCTAACTGTTAAATTAAATTCTGGCTCAGCCCATCAATAATAAGCTGATTTATACCGACATTTGATATAAGAAGGATTTTCTAGAATTTGAAAAAATACAACAAATTTGTAGGCGATTACACCTCAGCGCCTGAGAACGGGGCACTCGAAGACTAAAGCGAAAATGTCGAGCAGTTAAAAGTCAATTTTCAGCATCTGTTTCCATTGTTTTTCTTGCAGTCTCAGCTGACTTGTGTCTCGCTTTACAAAAGGGAAAAAATTAATATTAATAATAATAATCGGAAAATTAAAAAAATTTTACACTTTACTAATTGAATAATCTTGGATAAGCGCTAATCGATCTTGGCATTCAGGAGATACCATATCCATCACGCCATCCAACAAATAAAGAGAGAATGTTCATGAGGTTTTCTTTAAAGGGGATATGGCATCAAAAAGAAATAGGTTTACAAACTTACCAGCACAATTCTTCAATTGGATAAATTCTCACATTGAGAGCGCGATGACCTCTATTTCAAATTACTTTGTAACAACAAATTTCCATACTGTTTACAAGAAAATGCCTTGTGGCTTAAAGAATGTCAACACAATGGTTGTGACAAGGTGCACGAGTTTTCAAGAACCTTCATATCAAATATTTAGTTCTAGAGAGCTGCAAGTGGAGTTTCGTTTCGCTTGCGCAGTATACTTCTTAGGGGTCTACAGCTGCAGCCGAAAGATTTTAGCTCGAATATAGCGTTGAATTGAACTATCTAGCGATAGCTTAAGCTGCAAATGTCTCTTGGAGTACAGGAAAGCATCTCGAAATGCTGACTATATGGGTCTGTATCTTAACTTTCTCGTGATCTTTTGAGGGTTTACGGTACGCGAGGAATGAGGAAAATAGCCCATAACGAGACTTAAACGGAAATTAAACTCATCCTATAAAAATTTACATTCTTAATCATTGTTTGAAGAACCTCCATAAATACACTCAGATGCAGCACCACGTAAACATTGGATCACTGCATTTACAAGGGAGTTGTTAGAGTCAGTTCTTTGTACTTTGCGCCATGGAATAAACCCAGTTACGAGGATGTTTATTGGCCAGTCGATGTTCATTCCAAGGTAAGTCGTTTCGCGTTTGTCACACACACACACACACACACTATGACAGCGCATTACACGAATATAAATTGTAACAGACGAAATTTTATTAGGTGTTAACTTAAAACATCCATGATTTTCTCGTTTTGGAGCATTTTCAACGAATCTTATTTCTAGTTAGATTATGACGCAAATCAGAACTACACATTATAAATAAGTCACCAATTTTAAGCTAAGCCTTTTATTTTGTGTTTGGGATGTATTTAAACCATTAAGCTCCAAAATAAGAAACGCATTAAAAAGAATTTGTGAAATGCCGTGCTTCTAAAAGAAAAGAGGATTGTATAGTCTCTTAAAATTATGTTTCCCGTAGTTACATTCATGTAAAATTTTGATGGTTTTAAGGAATTTTATCAAAATTTTGGCCACGATTCAAGTATGAAAAATAAAATAAAACAAATTAAAAATAGCACAGCGAGAAGGATTTCCTTTAACTTACCGAATCAATCTTCTTGTGACCAAGTCGGGTTGCAAAGAAGAAATGAGAGCAATATGTAAATAAGTTTTGAATTAATACAAGTCCAGACACGAAAAACTCTGCTTAGTAATGAAGAGATCATGATCCTTGAGAAAGACTGACGTTGTAAACATGTAGACTGCGAATAGAGACTGCTTGATATTGTGAACAACTTTCTCCAACAAATGCTACTTGAAGCTAACAGCTGAGATTGACCAAGGTCAAAAGAGCCAGCGAATATAACAAACAAAAATTATCACGAGCAAAACAAGGTTGGCACGGTAGCATCAGTAATAAGTGCAGGGTGACTGGATTGCCGGCCGGTCTCTACGCATTCATTTTAATTTCAAAACAACAGTGGCACAGATTCAAAAGAGCCATACATGATGATAATTTGATTCTCTGACCTTCGAGTAGAAAAGATCTTGT